ACTACACAACGCACGCACATGTGATCAGTGACTAAGTTGCAGAATACCCCATGGACAATATGGTTGTAATGTACGATTTTTCGATATAATCACTGCATCCACCCAAAAAGGATGACATTTTGACATTTTGAAACCGGATTTTCAGTGTTTTTTGAATTTTTCTTATAATTAGGATGCGCATCCAGATAATGGACTAAACTAATTATAGGATTGTAGAACTCGTGTTTTTGCTTCGTTTAGTGTATATCTCATGAATGTGCTCACCGTAGCTTTTTTGCAATTGGGTTCCAAAGACGAAAATTTGGTGCGTAAATTTTTATAAAAAACATATTTTTTGAGTCTAAAATTAAGAAAGTCCATTCAAATTCCGTGGAACCTCGCGTGATTTTAGTTTTTTACGTGTCGGATCTAATGAGCCCATCCATGTTCAATTCCGCCCAATAAAACGGCGGATATAGGTACCTTGAATGTGGGAAAAACTGCAAAAACTTTTTTTGACAAATTCGCGTTTTTCTTCGAATTGATTTTACATACATTCATCATTGTGTTATCATATTCGCGAATCTGTGTGAAAATAGGTCAAAAATATATCGATACGCGAATAATATGCGTATTTTATCCTAAATTGATTATGGAGGCACATCCGCGGTTCTTAACCGATCCTTTTGAAATAGGTGTCCTTTTGAGTATTTTCAGAGGAGATTACTGAAATCGGATGCGCATACAAATCGTATACACGTTGTGTGATTTTTAGCCATTTTTAGGGTTTTTGCATAGTAAAGTGCTTCGAGCGGCACACTTTGACCGCTAAATTAAACATCGAAAAATTCATAATTATTGAAAGACATTGATTCGGTTTATACGAAAACCGCATGCGCATCAACTGATTTCAACTAATACGCGAATTGCATGCTTTTAAATATTGGTAATTTGTATGTATTGTATCTGCAATATATTTAGTCATTTTTACAGTCGAAACTTTTATCAGATGAATATACCGATATTTAACAATCATCTAAAAAATTTGAATTCGCGAATTACAACAAATAGAAATTAATTTAATTTATATTTGAAATACAAGATTTAAAACCGCTATAACTTTTGTGCGCAGCATCCGAATTTGTGAACGCGTACATATTTCGAATCAGCATATTTTTCTTAACCTATGTACCAAAAATCATGAATGTGCTCGGAAAAAAATTTTTCAAAATTTTTTTTATGGAATTTTAAAAGAATTTTGTAATTTCCCATATGTATATCCAACTTTAATGTGTTTTCATTTGTTGTATATATGTATATTTTTCTAGATAAAATAGAAATCTTATTTTTATTTTTTGACGCCATAAATTTATTATGAATTTTCTTAAATAAAAAAAATTATCTTATTTGCTCAAAGTGCTCAATTAATGTTGCTTTTAGGCATAGTTTTTATACCCTCCACCATAGCAATGAGGGTATATTAATTTTGTCATTCCGTTTGTAACTCATCGAAATATTCATTTCCGACCGTATAAAGTATATATATTCTTGATCAGGGTAAAATTCTAAGACGATCTAGCCATGTCCGTCCATCTGTCCGTTCGTCCGTCTGTTGTAATCACGCTATCTTCTGAAGGAATTGAGATAGGGTGCGGAAATTTTGCATAGGTTGTCTTTTGGCTGCAGGCAGGTCAAGTTCAAAGATGGGGTATATCGGTCCACGTTTAGGCATAGCTCCCATATAACAGTACCACCAAATTTCCGTATTTTAGGGTTCTTGAGTGCGTTTTTCAACCGAATACCCTGAAATTGGGTACATTGGGTTCTTATTGAGTACTAAATGTCTCCACAAAAAATTATAAATATAGGTCCACTTTTTCTGGTAGCACCCATATAACGGTACCTCAAAATTTTCAGTATTTTGGGGGTTTTTATCGTATTTTTCCTCCGAATTGGTTGTAATTTAGTATTTTGAGTTCTTAATAGGTACCAAATCTCTATTTGCCCCCTTTTTGGGGTCGTCCCCTATAACCCCATATTATAGAGGGTATATTAATTTTTTTTATATTAAAATAGTTATATGATTTGTTCCGTGTTTGGGTTTGGTTCTAAGACTCTGTTGTAATCATTTCATCAGCGGGATATACGAAAAAAAAACTAGAACATAAGGTTCGATAATTAACCTTATATATTCATATATATGAACTCTAACTTGCATTTAGGCCTACCCCCTGTGTGGGAGGTACCAGAAGGAGTGGACCGATATTCCCCATGTTCGAACTTGAACTAATATTGGAAGAAATAATAAGTCTTATAAGTTGGAACCTTAATCGTTTTGTAGAAATGTTTGGTATGTTCCCCATATTTCTACCCTCCTCCTCTTATTTCGATGAGGCACATTTTCGCCGTGTTAAAGTGTATACACCGTCCTTAGTCATAAGGCTGACGGTATAATTATCCATAAAAAATTTCTGAAATTTGTATTATGGTTTACATAATCCATTGAAATGTCGGTATAGGTCCACTTTTTAAGTATTTTCCCTATGTTTTCATTTCAAGTACCTGTCAGTATTTTTATGGTGGAGGGTATCCAAAGTTCTGCCCGGCCGAACCTAATGCTTTTTCACTTGTTTTATTTATTTTCGAATTGATTGTTTTTGTGGTTATTTTTATCATATAAAATCAAATATGATTCGTTTAAAAAATTGAAATTGATTTCAATTTTAAACAAAAAATAAAATAAATAAAACTAAATGATATTAATAACTATGTGACACAAAATCGACGTCAATCGACGATGGGAGGTGGAAATTCCTTGGCGAGTATATTAAGAAAATACAAGAAGTTGAAGTTTTTCAGATATTCCGTAATACAAAAAATGTGGGCAACTTTAAAGTTCTTGGAGAACAATCTTAACATCTTTATTTGCGTATATTGCAGGTTAGTTTTGAGATGGCATTCCAAATCGAATGAGGAATATTTTTGTAAAAAATGTCCTCCTTTTATTTCGAGTCCTTGTACGTCTTTATTTTATTGATCCGTAAACTAAATACCACAGGACGAGATTTCTTCACCTCCAAATATTTTACAAAACTTTCGATTATAAGATTTTAGGTAGGGTCCCCGATAATAAGAAAACGAAATTGGTATGTTTTTATCGTCCTTTTCCACTTTTTAACCCATACATGTTCAGAAAATCTGAAATCTACGAAGACTAATCAATTTCGAATAAATTGTGCATTATATGAAATATTTTCCACAAATACATCCCGTTAAGTTAAATGCGTTAATACAATATATTCGCGAGAGATAGATACGGATCAATATATTTCTGAACAGGATTTTTAGAAAATAATCAGGATGGTTTTAAACTACCGATTAAATTTATATGCTAAAGACATCGATAATCGCCTTTTGCGAATGTGTTGACCACAAAACGAGCGGCAGCCAGAATTTTTCCAAAATTTTTGAAACTTAAAATGTTGCAAACAGAGTTACGGAGCATCAAAAAGTGTAAATTGCGACTTTAGTCGCACAACGGTAACCCTGCTCAGGAGGTATCTTATCTTCTGATAAACTGAAATATCACTTTACAGGCATTTCGATTGGAAAATGAATACCAATACCATGATATGGAGTCTGTATTTGGAAGTTTTCTTTTATCCTTTAAGAAGAAGATATGTCATATTACAGAAACTTTAGTTGGACAATGCGTCTTGGACATTAAAGATGCCGAAAATGGGAGCTATGTCAAAATATGGACATTCATATATTGACAATTTTTCCCAGAATATTTTTATCCTCTGAAATTCGAAATTCCAAGTTAAAGTCCCTTCCGTTGGAAAATTATCTTTCAAAAATATTGACGAATCTTGGATGTATGGCTATGAAATGGAAAGCAAAACCCAATCGGTCGTGACTATAGCAATGTACCGAAGAGCCAAGACTTTTGCTCAATGTTTTCTTCGACTGCAATAGAATGGTGCTTCATAAAGAAAGTTATATTACGTTTGCAGTTCGCCAGAAACTCGCAGAATTTGGAAAACCCAATATCGAATTTTGCAACATGATAACGTATCAGTTGACACATCGATGCTTTCGCTTAAGGGAACCCCACCCATTCTCGATTTTAATTTTTCAAGATTTTCAATGGGCTGGTATATCAATACCAATGCTAGTTAAGGTTTGTAACTTTGCACATATATATTTGAAGATTTAAAGGAGAAGAAAAATAATTTAGAAAAAATGTTTGTTGTTGTTGTTTTGTTGTTGTTTTTGTAATTAATGAACATCAGAACATCGGAATCCGAAAATTCCAACGGTGTTAGAAAGAGTACACGACTGGCTCTCGTATGAACTAGGATTATTGACTTCGCTCTAAAATTAACAAAATGTGCGGACTTTTGAAAAAATATTTTTGGAAAATCGCCGATTTTAAAAAGTTAAAAAATAAGGAAGATCTTCACCGATTGGCTTTATCCTAGTTCATACGATAGCTATACACTCACAGAGAAACGTGTAAAAAATTGGAATCGATTGGGTTATTAGTTTTGAGTTATCGTGCCCGCCATTCGCAAAATGCGAAAAACGCGTTTAAAGTTTGAGAAGCCCTTTAGCCGTCACTTGATGCTGACACAATAAATCGGCTATATCTTCAAGAGTACTTGAGATTTTCGCTGGGGGGTCCCCTTAAACAAAACCATTGTCTGCCTCATTCACTGTAATTGGCGCCTGCTGACGTTTTCCTCTTCCAAAAACTGAAGACACCAATGAAAGGCAATCGTTTTTGCTACGATTCAGGAGACAAAGAACAAAACGAAACAGCTATTCCCGAAATGCTCGTTTCAGTTTTAAAAACAAGATAGTTATTGATGACAAAATAAATAGTTTTAGAATGAAATAAACATAACGTTTTTTCCAGATCTCGTATAGATCCAGATTCTGACATAATTGTAATATTTGTTCTTAAATTATAATGAAATTCAAATTAATTCATGTATTATTTTTTTCTTTTTTTACAGGGCTGTCACAGATCCACGAGATGGACGTCGCGTTGCATTGAAAAAACTTCCAAATGTTTTTCAGTCATTGGTTTCATCAAAGCGAGTTTTTCGTGAATTAAAAATGCTGTGTTTTTTCAAACATGAAAATGTAAGTATCGATGAAATTTGGGTTTTTTTATTTATTTTAAGAAATCTATACATAATAATTAAAAATAATAAGTAATAATACATATAACGGCAACTCCCGATAAATTAAAACTTATAAGGTATAATCTGAAGTCTTTAGTAAATTCTCACCTCTTTTCGAATCGTAATAAGATTTAAAGAAAACTTTTTCCTTTTTTTACAATTTCAAAGTGTAAAAGTCTGCAGAAAAGTTATTTGAAGCTACCACCATTGACGATTTACATTTCCACATCATGCTATCACATTTCATATTCATATAATTTATTAAACTCTTTGAAAATATTTTTTAACAGAATTATTCTTTGTTGTTCAGAATACTCTCTCCTCAAAGAACATTAGCCACCATCTCAGAGCCACACAATGCCTTGGTTAACTTTTATTTTTCTTGTTGAAAAGGCAACTTGTTTCAAAGTTGGTAATTGAGACCAAATTTTAGCCACAAAACTTTAAAGTGTTCGGGTAATACCAGGGCACACAAAAATGGAAACTCCTATTTATTGCGTGTTTGTTTGGAAATTTATTAAACCTTAAATTACTTTGGAAAGGAAGAAGGGCGTTGATGGTGTAGTCGACGACAATCAGTCGCCATATATTTAACGCAAATAATTTTTAACATTTAGCTAGCCAAAACAAAGAAGCTCCGGTGGCAATAAAATTTAAATGGTCATTCGAAGGGGGGGAGGAGAGGGCGTTAATGAAATTTATTTATGGCCGTACCACACAAACTCAAAATATAATTTCTTTTTATTCTATAGATCTTGAGTCCTTCTAGTTGGATTATAACAAGAATCGATTATAAAAAGAATACTTAAAATCGGTCAATACAATTATATAGAGGATGCCAGGATATTCCGAAAAAGGGGCGATTTTTTTAATGGGGCTATGTCAGAACGGGGACGATCGTACGAGTTCTGTCAAACAAGAAACATAAAGTTTTTATCAAAATCTTCACCGTCCTTTATCAAATAATCCCTCTCAGATATAATCCATCTATGCCAGCTTGTTTTTGCTCACAATTTTCTTCAACTGCACCATTTACGTAAAATCGGGCGAAACTATATATGGGAGCTATATCTAAATTTAAACCGATTTTCCCGAAACTTAGCACACATCATTGTCGTCTTAATTTAGTACGCTATGCCAAAATTCATGCAAATCTAATGATTTTCAGGGACTTTGGTGCACCATTTACATAAAATCGGACGAAAATATATATGGGAGCTATATCTAAATCCAATTTTAATAGGATTCGTCCTTGGGCCAATCCAATGGGCTGTGCCAAATTTCATCCAATTTGGATCATAAATGCGACCTGTACTTTGCTCACAAAAATACATGGACGATGGACGGACAGACGAACATCTATAAATCGACTCATAATGTGATATTCTCAAAAGGAACCATGGGTCTATCTTGATTCCTTTTTCTTGTTACAAACATATGCACAAAGGCATAATACCCTGTACCACAGTGTGGTGAAGGGTATAAAAATGGAACTGGAACTGTTTATATCAAAAAACGTGTTTCAGGAGCCTGTCGACGATTCAGATTTTCCAATCCGTACGGGTTTGTAGCAAGAATTAATAATGAACCACACCATTGCCGTTTGAAGAAAATTGTGAGCAAAATATAATTTCACCGACTTGGCTAGTTTTTTTTCGGTTTTCATTTAAATGATTGACTTTGGTTTCAATGTTATAACCATAAACCCATAATTTGCCACGAGTTATGACATTTTTGATGTAATCTGGAGGACCATAAAGTAATCTGCACAGCCACATCTTTCATTTCCAACACATTAGTAGACATTGTTTGCCATTAGGTCGTACGATATGCCAATATTATCAGCAACATCGCAGGTGATGATTCGACCACTATCCAAAATCATTTCACTGCTTCAATGTATTCATTACTTCTGTGATCAGGACGAGCATTATTTCATAACTGCTCATCATAGATTGGCCAAACGCCATAGTCAACATTTCAAATGTCCTGGCGCATTTCAAATGTTCCGCGCGGAAGTTTCTTATCTTCTGAGAAACAGAAATGCTTATTTACAGGCACTTCGATTGGAAAATGAGTACCAATACCATGGAGGCTGTATCTGGAAGTATTTTTGTAACCTTGGAGAAGGCGATATGTTATATTACAGAGACGCAGGTTAAACATTGCGTCTATGTAGAGTTGGGCAATCTAGTTCACGTAGCGGATCGATCTCTCTTGTTCCTTTTTTTTTTTTAAAGGAACTAGTTCCTTAATGTATTTCCTTTGCTCCATATAGTTCCTTTGCCCAATGTAGTTCCTTTTCTCTACACAATTCCTTTGCTCTTTATAGTTCTATTGATCCAAATAGTTCCTTTGTTCCATACAGTTCCTTTGCTCTTTATAGTTCCTTTGCTTTTTATCGTTCCTTTGCTTTTTATAGTTCCTTTGCTCTAAATAGTTCCCTTGCTCCATATAGTTCCTTTGCTCTTTATAGTTCCTTTGCTATTTATAGTTCCTTTGCTATTTATAGTTCCTTTGCTCCATATAGTTCCGACTCCTACATAGTTCCTTTGAGTCTCTTTCATCGTTATTTTTTTTTCGCTCACATAGTTCCGTGTTGATTTTTTTAATAGATGATTGAAAATTGTGCAAAAATATGAAAAATATGGAAATAAAGGAACGAGATCAGAAAAAAAGAACTATATTAATTAAAGAGTTGGAACTAGTTCCGATCGTTCCTTTCTCGGAACTACCCAACTCTACGTCTATGACATTAAAGCAGTGATGCACACGGTGAGAGGATGGCAATTTGTAAATGTATTTGTGAGACTAGTACACAAAGCTAAAGCGGTCCACACACGTCAAAAATGTGCAAACAAAAGAATTTAATTAAATAATAAAGTTCGGTCTTTTTTACTCACTATCGCTGTCCATCTTCAATCTTTAAAAACCAAATTGGAAATGAAGTTTTGTTGATTCTTTTGTGGTCTAGGAGCTTCACACCGATCAAACATACATGTTTGACGTGTTTGGGCCGCTTAAGCGTAGCCGCAAAATGATGTACACCACCATAGATATGTTTACTCGTTGAAGTCTCAACGACGATTAAACAAATGAGCGTCAGAATCCGTATGAGTTGAGCTAACCGCTAGAGTGCAAGGGCGTACATCCCTGCATTACAGATACCGAAAATGGGAGGAGCTATGTCAATGTGTCTGTCAGAAGATTTTTTGTCCACCGAAATTACTTTTTAACCCAAGTTCCGTTTGGAAATAACCTTTCAAATAAAATAAAATCGGACCCTTGTAAAGAGGCTCAGCTAAAACATGGTATTTTTCTCCATCTTCCCTCCAAGACCCTAGAATAGGAAATTACAGCCACAGTGCTTAGGGGTCAGGGCACAGACAGTGGGAATAGACAATGCTCAAAGCTGTTGAGTATGTAGAGCGTCAGAGAGACTAGTGGGCTGTATTTTTTGGGGATGATAAAGAGCTCCTGACACTGCTATGATTTTGGCTTCCCGTAGTTCGTCGATTAACGTCGATGTTGTGATAAAGATGGCTTGCGAAGTAGGGTTTTAATTTCAAGGGTGCTATTCCAAAACATGGACCAATATTAAACCGATATGTTGTATATAGTTTTTTAGCAATGATGATGTTCAATCATCGATGTTGGTTTCTTTATATTGAAGATCTTAAGATTAAAAAAAAAAATACGAGTTTTAAATAACTTTAGCATTTATTTGAAAATACGAATTTTCCGCCATGACTTGCTGCTGTCAGCGGCAACTTCAACGTCTTAACCTCTCCGGCAATATTAGCCATTATTAATACATCAACAACAAATCATTGTAACTATGCTATTATACAAAATAATATAGCCTATTTTTAACGCCCACAACGGCGGCCAACACAAAACCGTATCACAGAGCCAGTGAGTCTGCGGACGTCATTTTGGTGTCAGTAAATCGCCGTAATTGTTATGTCAAAAATGTTGACAACATATTCTAACCACCAAAACAAAAAACCCCGAACTATGCCAAAACAAAGGAAAAACCAACTGACACCCAGTGTGTCAGGCAATTCGATTCGTTTCGATACGATTTATTTTTTGCTCAGCTGAATGTGGGCGCTATAATCTGCAAGCATCCATTGTTGTGGTACAACCGCTGAATGCGACGCCTTACATTAGAATACTGACAGCAAAAAAAAAAAAAAACACAAAAACAATAAAGTGTCAAATGAATTTACATTTGGATTTTAATAAAAGTAAAACAAAAAAATGGAAAATTTATTAATTGAACAAAATAAATGTGGTTCAAAATGATTTGGTTTTGTTGTTGTGTTTTTTTTTTCCTGGCTTATTTGCAATTCTATTTTATGGACCAAATTGATAACGTGTTTATATTGCACACGTGCTAAAAATCTAAGTGTAATATTTTTTACTTATATTGTTGTTAATTTGTGTTGCATTGTTATTCATGGTAATATGGGAAAATATACATATCTAGAAAATTAGGAAGGGAAAGATAAAAGTAGAAGCGGATCGTATATGTTTTCCTAGACAAATGACCATTTAAACATATTGACCCATTGTGGGGAAGTGCCCACAGTTATGATTTTATTGAGGTGGATTGGAACTATTTAGCGGATCAATCATAAAAGTAGAGGAACTTCGGGTAATGTGGACCACCATTTTCTTTTAATTGTGTGCGTAAAATTTTTTAAAAAATAAAAACAAATTGTTTCAATAAGAATGTAGATATGTTGCCTAAATATATTCCAGGACATATAAACATATTATTGAATTTTGTTTAAAAAACTCAAAATGGCGAAATTAATAATTTAGCGGGTAAGGTGGTCAAGTCAGATAAAAATGGCTTGTGGATTGTCTGTTACAAAATATTTAATATTTTTTCTACTTTGGGTAACATCAAATGCTAAAATATATGGGCCCATATTTTTGAATAGTCCCTAT